TCTTTATCTGTAGGGGAGAGTGGGGTAAACCGGACCCCCTAACGGTTTTTTGACTCTTGTGACTAAACGAATCAACCGATTTCATTTTTCGATGCACTGAGAACCTTTGGGTCAGCAGCAGACTTTCGATAGGCTGCTATTGACCATTTTGGAGGAACGCTACAGGACTATGCTTTTGGGTTGCTGCGGTAAAATCTTGGGCGCGTGACAGTCCAAAAGTTGTTCAGCTGCAAACCGAAGGCAGCATTCCCACTACTTCGGTGAGCTGCTCACCAACATTTGGGACTGTCACGCGCCCAAAATTTTACCGCAGCGCACCAAAACCATAGTGGAGCTGCTGTCACATACGTTATGTTTCGCTACAGTCCCAAAGGTCTCTCAGTGTGGTTTGTTTGAAAGATCATTTAATTGCGCAACTTTTTCCCAGAGACACCTATACTTTATCTTTTATTGTTTAGTTGATGTGTTAACTTTAAAAAATTTTGCAAACGGTCCGGTTTGCCCCACCCCCTGGGGTAAACCGGACCCCCCATGGGCAAACCGGACCGTTTGGTTTTTTATTTATAATATTGCATTTACATAATCTACAATAATAAAAAACATAAAGAATCATGTAAGCAATGGTTGTAGTAATGAAAATAATAATACGGGATTGAATTTTATTTAAATAAATATTTTTTTAAATAAAAAATTAAAAATTTTTGTCATTATCAGAGAAACAATATTAAAGGGTCCAATTCTCATTGGAAGACAATTATTTTTCATTGTCAGTAAATATTTTAATGAAAGAAACATTTTATTTAAAAATAATTTTTATGAAACTTTAATTCAATGGAAATATCCTGTGGCCGGTTTGCCCCACAGGCCCATTTTGAGAATAAATGTTTGTCAAACAGAAACGCTTTGCAAATTCATCAAAGTTTTTGGTGGTAAATATTCCTGAGGTGTGTACCTTCAAAACCTAAGACCTAATATTTGGAAAAATTACACGATTTCCTCAAAATTTCCTTAAGAAAAAATTCGTAAAAGTGTAGAAAAAAACTAAAAAAAACTTTTGCTCCCTTCGTCGCACAAACGCAAGCTAAAACTGTCAGATTGAAAAAATAAGGTCTACTAAACATGGTTGTTTAAATTTGTAAACAACACTTTTTCCAATTTCGTCATTTCGGAAATATTTCTTTTCTTACAAAAAGAAGTGACAAAATTATGAAAGTGGAGAAACTAGAGACGTCGCGTCGATTAAAATGAAAATTATATAATAGTGAAAGATTACCCATCGCAACTATATATATATATATATATATATTAGGGTGGTTCTTATTTTAGAAAAGTTGGAATTTCTAAGGTCGCCGGCCGGAATTTGAATTAAAATGTGAAAAAAATGAGATACCCAAAAGAACAGCCCATTTGATAAATTTTAACCCGTGCCGCAAAAGGGTTAAAGTTTAAATGGGGTTTAACATGGGTTTGGTGCACTTCTGCAAACTTTGTATTATAACTTTTACATTTTTTAAAAATTTGACTTGGGTCTAAGTATTCCCATAGTTTTTCGTACGCTGAACACGAATATGATGTCAAAAATAACTTTTGACAGCTACCAGTTGTCAAAAAAGCTGTCAAATTTTGAAGATGAGAATTTTCACGACTTTTACATTAATTTCTACGAATAAAAAAGTTTCTTGTGAATATTTCAGTTTATATTTAGCAAATTTATACCCTTTGACAGTTGCCATCTGTCAAATGAGTCGTCAACTTTTATAAAAATCAGTTTTCATAGAGTTTTAAATGAATTATCAAAAAAAACGGTTCTGTAGGTAAATTTAGTTCATATATAGGTATTTAATATATTTTGGCAGTTGACAGCTGTCAATTTAGTAGTCAACTTCTATTAAATAGGATTTTTAAGACGTTCCCAATTACTTCTTATAAATTTTAAAATTTATAAAAAATTATTTCCTCCTCAAAATAATTTTTAAAAAAATTAAACTTAAAAACATATATGTACACGGAGAGAGATTTTGTATTAATATTTGTTAAAATTGGCAATAGAATTTAATATATTCTTTTTCAATTTAGGGAAATCGTGTTTTATATTAAAAATTAATATTGTGCATATTAGTAGGCAGCCCTTGATATATTTTACAAAAATTAATAAAATTGTAATACAATTTAATAAAAGAATTATAATTTTTAAAAATGACTATATTAAAATCGCAGTCCGTGAAAGTATCGAAAGAATAAGAAAAATTGAAATAGTTCTTTTAAATTTTAGAATAAAATACATATTTCAATCTTTAATATAGTCAATACTAAAAATTATGAGTGAGTCGAAAAGGACAGGAAATAAAAAGACGTAGGAAGGAGGAGGATAGAATTATCGTTTCGAAAGTATTTCGCACACACACCAATGAGCTAACGCAAGCATCATACTATACATCATACTATACAAACACAAACTATGTACAATTTCGGAGATCTATGTTAGGTCGGTTCCAGAATGGGTATCGTGAAATGAACGCAAACGCAACGTAGACGCAACGCAGACGCGACGCGCTTGTTCTGACGTCACAAATGTAATGCTACCAACTGCTGAAAGTTGTGTTAAAGTTTTGTATAAATAATAATTAATTAATTACTTTAATTAATGAATTTAATCAAATTTTCAGATAAATTAAATTATTTAATTACAATATATATTATAATTCTTAATAATTGTTATACATATAATAATAATAATAATAATAATAATAATAATAATAATAATAATAATAATAATAATAATAATTGTTAATAATACAATTAATGTAATAAATTATTTAATTAATGAATTAGTTTAAAATATATGATAAAGAGGAATTTGAACAAGTTTAAATTTTTTAAAAAATTTTATCAGTAATAATAATAACAAAAAATGTTATACTATATGGTTGGTGATTTGTATTTGTTAAAAAGTTTTTTTTCATAGAAACCTACTATTTACTACTTTTTTTACGTTATGCTACTATTTGAGTACTTTTTTATAGATTTCAGCTACTATAAAAGCTACTATTTCCCTTTTTTTAAGAGAGAGAGAGAGAGAGAGAGAGAGAGAGAGAGAGAGATTTCCCATTACCTACTTTAAATTTTCAATATCTAGTATTTTCATGAAATTTCGCAAAAGAATTCAATTATTTACATAAATAATTCTTCAATAGAATTCTATTATGTCGATAAATAACCAAATTTTTCCCGAAATTTCAATTATTTTTGAAAATTTTAATAAAATTTTTTGCAACTATTCAATTATTTTCATAAATAATATCATAATTATTTTTAATACTATTTTACAGGAAGTGGTTAAGAAATGCAGTTATTCTTAAAAATTTAATTTTAATTTCTCGAAAAAATGAATTATTTAAAAAAAATGGTTTTTTTTACATTCTTTGGAAGAATTCAATTATTTACAAAAATATTAGAATTTTTCACAGGAGTTTAATTGTTTTTAAATATGTTAATAAATAAATTTGTGCAAAAGAAATCAATTATTTTAATTTCGTACAATTTTAATTAATTTCTTTTGAAATAATTCAATTATCCTTTTAGATTTTAATAAAATTCTTTCCAACAATTCAATTATTTTTAAAAGTATGAAATTTTTTCTTGGAAATTCAATTATTTTAAAAAATTCTAATAAAATCGTTCTCGAGAATTCAATTCTTTTCATGAATAATAAAAATTTTTCGATAACTACTACTTTTTTAGTATTTTAATAAAATTCTTTGCATAATTCAATTACTTTTATAAATAACAATATTCATTACAAAAATTCAATTATTTTCAAAAAAATTTAATAAAATACCACACAGACATTCAATTATATTGTCAAGAACTTTAATAGAATTCTTTGTAAAATTTAATTATTTTTAAAAACTTTTCACAATTCAATGTTTTTCAATATTTTCTGTTTTCATAAAAATTTAAAAACAAAATCCAATTATTCGAAAGAAAATTTTGTAGAAATCTTCGTAAGAATTCAATTACTTTCATGAAAAATAAAATTTTTTACAAATTCAATTATTTAAAAAATTTTATAAAATTCTTCGCAAGAATTAAATTATTTTTATAAATATTTAAATTCTTTCATGAATAATAAAATTCGATGCAGGAATTGAATGTATTAGCAGGATACAATAAAGTAAATATTTTTGATGAAAATTAGGAAAAAATTATGAAAATAAATAAAAGAATGGAATTTTTTCAGTTTTCTGAAGTATCTGAAACGAGTTTTTTTGGTCCTCAAGTTTAATTTTTCGATAGCTACTTTTTTAAAATTAATTACCTGGTAAGAAGGTGTGTATTAAAATGAATTAAAATGATATCACAAAAAGGACGAAAACGACATTGGTTTGGATTAAAATGATTGAGAATTCATAGCATAGTTGTAATCAGTTTAATCCATTTCAATCCAAAAAATTAAAATGTTAACAATGTTTATGTTCAAGAAAAGATTCAAATGATTTCACTTTTTAAAATTTCCATAAAGCATTAAACTGGATTAAATTGATATCATTTTTCGTCATTTTAACAGATTTGAAATGTTAACAGGAATTCAATTGAATTTAAGTGTGTTCAAATAGATTACTGTGATTGGAATAAATTTATTGATGGACAAAAATGTCATTCGTTTGGATTAAAATGATTTCAAGAATTCAGCTATACTTGTAATCATTTCAATCATTTCAATCATTCAATTGATACTAAGTCATTTAAACAAATTAGTCATCATATTATAGTAAATTCGAGTGTGGAAAAAAGTTGTTTATAATTAATTTAAAAATTAAAATAATATAAAGTTTTTTAATTTTTAAAACTTGTGTTTCTATGTTACTTTATTTTATTAAATTTGTAGTCCATACTTAAATAGATTGTCAATGTTTTAAATACAATAATAATTATCAAAAGGTTTTTTAGGAAAATAGAAACGTAAATAAATGTAACATATGCATTAAAAATGTTTATTTATAAAATGAAGGAACTTTTATAATATTACAAAATGCATTCAACGAGCATCTTTCTTATCTTGAATCATTTTTTTTATATTTGTGTAACCTATTATTTTATTTGCTTCCGGTATTTTTTTCCATTGTGCACGCATAATCAACATGTAACTATTTGTTATAGACGAATTATGTTGTAGGACTGTAGAACTTTCTGGCTGTGTTAAATCTCCTTCTTCACTTTCAGAAGTAAGTAAGTCTAAAAAGTCATTCAAATCGTAGGATGAAAATAATACAAACGAATAATTATTATAAAGTAAGGTATAACCTAATTATCTGCATTAATGAATGCAGGCATTTATTTGGGTTATTGTTCTTATAAAATATGGAACAAAAACTAAGTGAAAGCTGATGATTACCTTCAAACCATATTCTTTTTTAAAATTTCATTATATATTTTAACATAAAAATTAAATATTTTTTATACTATTGTATTATAAATTCTAAATGTTTTAAAATACTATACCATCATCATTATTTTCAGTAATGCTATTTTCTCCAGAAAAATATTCGGAATCAGAACCAGAACTGCAACTTTCATCAATTACTTCCAATTGTTTATCTTTTTTAACATTTGAAACTGTACTATATAGGAAAAAAACACAATTAATAAAATATACAATGTTACCTAAGAATTGAAAAAGTTTAAAGGAAAATTGATTTGAATTCCTTTTTTCTTTAAAAAATACCACATGGAAAAAAACGCAGTATTAAAAATAAAATTTTTAATTCGATAATGTTTACCGAATAGAAAAATCATTGTAAACACGGTAATTGTTTTTGTAAAAAAGACAACACTTGTTTTCTTTAATAAAATTACTTATATGACAGTATAGTTGCTTTAATGATTAAAGCAAACATTTTTTTTACTGAAACAATTGCCCTATTTGCAATTATTCTTTGCTTATAAGGCGATAATTACTAATTTAAACATCTTTTTATTACTTTTTTCAATCTACTTATAATTTTTAAATTATATTTTGCTTTATTTTAAAATTATTTGACATATATTTTTAGATATTTTCTGAAAAAAACATCGTTCAAGCAAAAGAGCTTTTTATTGAAATATTTTTTATTTATTTACCAAACAAGAAAATGTCTTGTAAATTTTTGTTACTAAATTCTTTACATTTATACATTTTTTTGCGATATTTTTCTTAAACATTTGTTTAAATATAAAATCCATAAATTTATTAATTTTAGAAATATGTGACCTGGTCTACGAAAAGGGACCTTACGTGTCAAAAAATCATTTTTTACTTTTTTGTTGATTCGGATAGAGTTTGAAACGCTCCTTAAGATAGTGAAAACCAAAAAGTCATAAGTTGATCAGAAGTTTTTTTAAAAAATTTTTAAAGTCAAAAGAAACAAGAGTAAAAATACGAAAAAACTGATTTTTTTATTATAATACAAATTAAAATAACGAAGACGATAATTTTTTATTATTTAGAAAAGTTGACAGTTTCTTTGACAACTTTCAACAGTTAATATTAATATTTTTAAAAGTTAAAAGGATTTTTCTAAGTTAAACTTTAACTGCTTTTTCCTCGAAAACTTGTTTTCGCACGTAAGGTCCCTTTTCGTAGACCAGGTCACATATATATTTTGAAATCAAATTAATGATTTGTAAGGAATACTTATGTGCCAAGATTTATTAATATGTAATAGAAGAAATTCTATAGAAATTTTAATATTTGTCGCTTACGGAATATGTTTAGAAAACTTTTCAAGAAATTTCATATCTTGAAAATATTCCCATTCAGGAAGTTTTTCCGGTGCTGCTGATCCTGACGGGATATATTCCCGTATTTTTTTTTGCTCTTCTGCAAATCTCTTTTTTAATGTTGCCCATTTGGACATTATATCTGAAACTGTTATAATTTCAATTTCAAAAAAACAATTTATATCTCTAGTTCATATTATATTTATAATATAAGGGTGATTTTTCTGAAAGTTCTGCATTTGAACTTCAATTTTCCAATATATTTTTTATAAAATTATATGGTTTTTTCTATTGAAACTACTTTATTTTATACTCAAGAGTAGGATTTTTCAGTTGCGCAAAATTAATTGTTAAAAATATTACAGTTTTTCTTTTTTGAAGAAGATTGTCTTTGTTGCCCCATTACTCTCTAAATCTGAATCAGTGACTCTATTCTCACGATTTGAATAATTGGAATTTCACATAACTGAAATTTCAGTCATTTTCCACTGATTCGACAATTAAAAAACCACTGAAAATTTCTGTCACACATATTGAAAATTTTAGTTATTTTTTAATTTGCCAATCAGTGAAAAATGACTCAAATTTCAATCATTTTTAACTGATCTTCAATGAAATTTCACTGATTCAAATCGCGAAAATAGAGTCACTGATTCTCAGTCTAATTTCACTGATTCAGTTTTAGATAGTAGATTAGTTTTATTTGATTTGCGATTTTCTCTATTAAAAATATACTCTAATATCGTTCACGTAATCAAAAATAAAACTTAAAAAATAATAATTTGCATATTTTAATATCAAATATATTCAGTCCGATTAAAATAGAAATCTAATTTAAGTATCTGATTTGATGGTTATTTGAGTTAATTTTTTCAAAATAATGCAGGTGAATATTAAAAACAAAAGAAAAACTCGCACATTTTAATAAAAAGGCTTCGGAGATGAAAAAAAAATTTTCAAAACGCGATGCTAAAAAGGGCACTTTTTTGCACCTTGTTATGAAAAATATCGTTCGTAACTATTGTGCGAGCAGTTGCCAATTTTTGAACGAGCACTTTTTTTGGAACAAACGCTCATTCAAAAATTGGCAACTGCTCGCACTCGTTACGAAATATACTATTTTCACATTTATGCTCATTAGGGCACAATTAAAATGTATTTTTCAGTAAAATATACAAATTTGACACCGTAACTTTATATTATCATCGAAATATTCCGTTTAACTTACTTGTATATTCAATTATTTAATAAAAATCAAGGCTTTGGTGTTGGAATTGAATTTTTACTCGGAACAAAATGTAAATTTCGATTACACAGGCCAACAAAATTTGATTCAATTTACTTTCCAAGAATCAGACAATACTTTTCCGAAGGATTTCGACGTGCTGAATCCGAATCTGGCCTCAAAATACACCCATCACGTCAGGTTTTCGAGATATTTTAACCTAAAAGTACAAAAAACCTGTTTTTAGTTATATTTGATGTCTTGTAACATCAAGAGATAATTTTTTATTTAAAAAGTCAATATTGCGTTTAAAAGTGCTACTCTTCCCCTTTAATATCCATTTTGAAAATTTTAAAAATCTCCATTTGTCTCTGAGTAATCGTTCATTGAATTTTTTGAGTTTGTCGAATTCTTCGAAAACTGAGTAGAAACAGACAAAACTTCGATAATAAAGCAGATTTTAACTACAAACATCTAAATTTTATATAGTTGTGAGGATTTTCGATATAACTGAATACGAATTCGATATCAGATTGACAGAATTGAAAATGGCAAATTTTAGGCAAATACAATCAATTTTAAGTAAATCGTCTGCCATATTGTATACGCCATTTTGAATTTTGTGAATCTAATATCGAATTCGTATTCAGTTATATCGAAAATCCTCAGAACTATTTAAAATTTAGATGTTTGTAGTTAAAATCTGCTTTATTATCGAAGTTTTGTCTGTTTCTACTCAGTTTTCGAAGAATTCGCCAAAATCAAAAAATTCAATGAACGATTACTCAGAGACAAATGAAGATTTTTTAAATTTTCAAAATGGATATTAAAGGGGAAGAGTAGCACTTTTAGACGCAATATTGACTTTTTAAATAAAAAAATTATCTCTTGATGTTACATGACATCAAATATGACTAAAACAGGTTTTTTGCACTTTTAGGTTAAAATATCTCGAAAACCTGACGTGATGGGTCTATTTTAAGGCCGGATTCGGATTCAGCACGTCGAAAACCTTCGGAAAAGTATTATCTGATTCTTGGAAAGTAAATCTTGTCGGCCTGTGTTATTTATAAAAAAAATAATTTTCCTCCTTTTCACAAATAATTTATGGGCAAATTAAACATCAGAATCTCAGCTTTATTTGAATGTGCATTAAAATTTTGTTTTGGATATTTTTAATGTATAAAAATATCAGTAATCAGGGTTGCCAAATTTTTGCCTTTTTCAAATTCCCTGACTTTTTGCAGGTTTTCCAGGTTAAAAAACGGAATTTTTCCAGGTTTTTAAATTGAAAATTTTCCGAAAAACATCAATAACTTAATTTTTAATTAAATATTTAATCATTATTTTTTTAAAGAAATTAAGATTTTCAAAAATTTGAAATTCAATAACATAAGAATATTTATTATAAAACATGAAGATATCGATCACTCCGAGTCTTTGACTCGGAGTGGTCGCTTTGTTATGCTTTATAATAATTGCAACTTGCTACTTTGTTACTGTAACATCTACAAAATTTATTTTCATAATTACGATTATTCATTTCTAGAATTTTCAACTAAAATTCTTCTTTAAGTTAATTTTTTTAGAATAATTTTTGAAAAAGTTCTTTGTGAATTTTGAAGTTCTATTGTTTACAATTTAATTTTACGAAATTTCGATTATTCTGACATTCTTCAACTAAATATGTATATATTAGAAATTAAAAACTTCAAATAATTAAAAAAAATTATATTAAACTTTTTGAGAAAAATTAATTCTATATAGAATTCTTATATAAAAGTAAGAAAGGTTTAAATTTTCAAAGATTTTAATTTGAAATTCATTTTTAAATCAATATTTATTAGAAAATTGTACGAGAATTTAATTATTTAACTATAAAAATAAATATTTTATTAAGCAATTGAATGTTTCTTAAAATTGAATTTTCATAAAGAATTTTTTATCAAATAATTTTTAAATAATTGAATTCTCTGGACAAATTTTAATAAAATTTTTAAGAATAATTGCATTTTTCGAGAAATTTGATGAAAATTATATTAACAATAATTAAAAGTCTGCCAAGAATTTTATTCAAAGTTGTGAAAATAGTACTTAAATTCTAATAAATTGTAGCAAAGGTTAGTAAAATAAATAAATTTCTTTGATAAATTTTTTAAGAAGAATAATTTTTTCCAATGAATTCCATTAAAATTGTAAGTATTAAAAATAATTGAAATTCAGCATTGAGTTTTATTATTTATAAAAATAATTGAATCCCTGTAAAAAATATTATTTATGAAAATAATTGAATAATATATGAAAATAATTCGTAAATAATTGAATTCATGTGAAATTTTTATTATTTATGAAAATAATGAAATCTTTGCGTAGAATGTTATTAAATTTTTTTGTAACTAATTAAATTCTTTTAGGAATTTTTATTAAAGTAGTTGATACTTCGTTTTCTTATAGAAGTCATATTGAAGACATGCTAAAAAGGCTTCGGTGATGAAATTATTTTAGATACTGCATAAATGCAGATAAATGAAATTGTTTATTTTTTTCTAAATTGATAAGTATGACACTTTTAGAAGAATCACCCATAAGCAAAAAAAAAAAAAATAATATTGTTAATTTTAATCTTATGCTAAAATTTATTTTATTTTAGTATTAAAAATATATTTTACCCGACACTTCTTCATTGTTGTAAATACAAATTTCTGAAGCAATATCTTCCCAGATTCTTTTCTTTTTATTCCTGTTTATAAAGCCATCCGATTCTCTATCATGTAATACCTCGTGTTTCGACACCAATTTAATTAAGAGTCTTTTAAAAATTGATTTCTCATCTGTATCCATAATGCTTTAATTAGCAATCGTTTAATTATTTTTGGAAAAAGTTAATAAAGCAATAAACAAAATTATTTGATAGAGATAAAACTAACCCTATTTCATATGGAATCTGAGATCACGAGAAACGACCCATCGCTGTACCTGCTTTCGGAAACCATCTTGGTTTTTTATCTCTTTCTAACATATGCACCAGAAAGAGATAAAAAAACCAAGAAAGCTCCGAAAGCAGGTAAACACCAGATGGCGTATCGTAGTATGTATTTCAAATCCCAATTGTGAACAAAAGTGACAAACTTTAATCACTCGACTGCAGAGCCTCTATTTTTGGCGGTTGAAATGCTAAATTAATTATATTTGAACCTTCTATCTATTCATATATTATTATCGTCATATTTTGGTGTTAACCGGTACTAATAATAATTGCATATTTTTAACAGTTATTATCTGCTCGAGTTTTTTAAAATGTCTTTTAAGGACAATATTACTATTTTTAACCAAGAGTTAATTGAAATCGTTAAAATTAATCCTTGGATTTATGATAAGAATTTTATAGATATCTCAGATCAAAGCAAGGAGGCAATGTGGGTTCAAATAGACGAAAAACTAACAAGCATGGGACTCGATATTAAAAGTAAGTACTAATTAAAATAATTTATATACATTTGAAATAAATGAGTGAATATACATGTGCAAAATAAAAAATTTATTATTCAAAATAATTGCCCTTACATCTGATGCGTATATAATGTTATATACATATATAAGTCTTTATGCACTGTGTTAAAGTTATAGGTTATATACTGCAGTCAACACGGAAAATTTTTGCTTTTATATTCTGTTATTTATTGGCTCCTTATTCCAGTTCTTTAAATTTTATGTTCTCAAAAATTTTTATTCCTCAGAGCTTAGATACCAGGAAATTGTCTCTAAAGGAAATCTTTAAAATGATTTTAGTCAAAATTTAATAAATGTTTGCAAATTTGAAAAAATTAACATTTAAACTATTAAAAAAACCTTTTTATCATCATAAATATTAAAATATCTTTTGGAATAGATTGAGTAATTTAAAAAACTTTTTTTTCAATTTTCAGATGGCTCTAAATCTCGCTGGAAATGTTTGCGAGACCAATTTGTTCGCAAAGATAAAATGACGAATCCATCTTGGATTCACTACAATGAAATGCTTTTTTTGAGACCACATATTTCACATAGATAGTAAGCAATAAATAACTGATTACATCAATTTAATATATTTAATAAATATATATTAAAGTTGATTGAAAAATTATTTTAAAAATGTTGTCAAGTGTTTAAACGTTTAAATAAGCTAAATTAATGTTTTTCCTTTTCCTTTAAATAAATAAATTATAAAGTTTTAAATTGATTAAAATTGATATTTTTTATTAGTTATTCTTTTTTGAATTTGTTCATTTTTAAGAAATATTTAGTTTATTTGAACCTTTAAAAATTTCATGTTTTGTAAACAACTTTTATTCGTTGATTTTCATTTGTAGTCATGTAATTTCTAGTACTGATCATCTACTTGTAATTTATTAATTACTGAAGTGATTAACTTTATAGAAAATCAGTGGCGGATCCAGGGGGCCAATGGTGCTTGGCCCCCAAGAGTCTTATATTCCTATGAAATAAAAAGAGATAACTTTATATTGATTTAATTTTTTTGAATGGTTGACTCCACCAAAAAAACCTTGCCTCAACCTGTGTCCGCCACTGTGTAAAATTTAATTACGTAACTTATTAATTTTCTTCAATTGTTACAGCGGAAAAAACACAACTTCTTCATCGTCTGATGTTTCTTCCATACCTCCAGCACCGTTGAATATTGCAACTTCTATGGATTCTCCATGTTCCTCAACAGCTTTCAACAAAGGTTTGTACATTCTACTTGTTTTTTTTTTATATACATATTACTCATTGTCAGTGATCACGTATTCTCATAGTAAAAATGAAACTGAAGTTACCAACGTTGATTCAACGAAATAATTCAAAACAAAATTTTCTCTAAAAAGTTCAGGATACAAATTTTTCTTAATAAAATTTGTTTATTTTTAATCCAAGTTAACTCTTCAAACCCTAAAATAAGAGAAAGGTAGGAAAACATAAGTTATTTTTTTCACGGATTTTCCAAAAATCACGAAATTTCGACTAAATGGAAAGCAGTGATTTTTATTTCTTTTGTCGAATTTTTTAAAACTCACAAAATTTCAAGTGAATCAATAATTCCTCTCCTTGGTAGCAATTTCTTTCTTGTGATAATTATTTATTTTAATGTCAAGTATCAAAAGAAAAAATTACTATCTGAGCAAGGAATTATTAAATTACTAGAAATTCTAGGATTTTCGAAAAATCCGTGACAAAAATACCAAAATCATTGTTTTCCCCGACTTGGAACCTTTTCAATTTTTTTAAAGGGCTTCTGACATTAGAATAAGTAATTATCAGAAGAAAAAACTTGCTACCGGAGCGAGGAATTATTAATTTAATTGAAATTTCGTGATTTTTGGAAAATCCGTGAGAAGAAATAACAACTTCTGTTTTCCAACCTTTTTTTTATTTTAGGGTTTGGAAGGTTTGCTTGGGTTAAAAATAAACAAGAAAAATTTGTATTCTAAACTTTTTAGAGAAATTTTTTGGTTAAATCAACGTTGGTAACTTCAGTTTCATTAGTAAAAAACATAGGGCACGTGACTGCTGAATAATATGACCGTGAGTGAGTTTCTTATTGAAGTGTTTCTATAAGGAGTAGAGGTGTGCAAAAAGCTCGAAGCTTGATCGAGTATTTTCGAGCTCGGGCCGAGCCGAGCTTTATAAAAAGCTCGAATAATTTCGGGTACTCGAAACTTTCGAGTACAGTAGAATCTCGATTATCCGAGGTAATGTGGGGAAGAGGTGCCTCGGATAATCGAAAACTCGGATAACACGGAACAAATGAAAATTTCATTTGTTCTGTACATTTTTTTTCCTGATTTAGTCGCTCGATCCGTTTTATCCGAGTTATTCCGTATTATCCAAGCATGTTTAGTGCCTCGGATAACCGAGATTCTACTGTACTCGATTTGATTCGAGCTAGAGCTGTGCAAAATTCGAACTGAACCGAGTTTTGTTCGGTTTTGGGACGCCGAAATGTCGAATGTTGAATATTCGACATCTGAACTGGGCTAGTTCGAATGTCGAATATTCGACATTCGAACTAGGCGACTGAAATGTCGAATTTTAAAATTCGACATTTTAGCGTTCCAAAACCGAACAAAACTCGGTTCGGTTCGAATTTTATATTAACTAGGCGAAAAAATTCGAACAGTTCGGTTCGAATTATTTTGCATAGCTCTAATTCGAGCCCTTGAGAAAATCCAAAATTTTCTACTTTAATTTTTAATTAAATTTTTTTTTGTATAAAAAAAAATTTTTCAATTTAAAAGCTTGAATCAAATTGAGCACTCGAAAATTTCGAGTACCCGAATTCACTCGAGTACCCGAAATATTCGGGTACCAGAATGTTTCGAGTACTCGATACATCGGGCTCGGTTCGACAAAATTGCGGCTCGGCTATTCGAGCTTTTTGCACATCTCTAATAAGGAGGATAATTAAAGTTTAAAAAAGTAATTGTTGATCTTTTCGTAAAGCACAATGTTTTATATTGTAATCATTTCTTCATAAATATTTTATTTTCAAGTTCGGTCTATATTTACATCATTCATTTTTTTTCAAAATATGCACAAAATTTTGCAATTTTATAAAAAAAATTTATAAGAACGTTTTTTTCAGAACCAGAGTTTCAGCATATTTATACATTTGCAAATGGAATACCTATAAGAAATGAAGGAAATGTTCAAATTTTAAGTAATGCTTTTTTAAATGAAGACCAGGAAACCAGCTTTGTTGAGGAATCCATTGCTAAACCATCAACATCTAATCTCACATTGAAGCGTCATGTACCAACAATAATAGGAAATCAAATAATCTACAAAACTCGGAACTCGCAGATAAACAGTGAACATAATTTACATTATTCTCAAGACGAAAATTTACAAATCCAATCGGAAAACCAGATATATTTAAAGAATGTCAACAAAACATCAATAGATGATGTTTATCATGTTGATGGAAAATCGTCACCTTCGTCGATTAATTATTCTGTGCCAGAAACTCAATATATTGCAAATGATGTACATATGAGCTCCGAAGATTTGAATTTTCATATGTATTCAAATAATGATGCTTTTTCAAATGAAGTTCAAAAAACCTGCTCTGCTGAGGAACCCAATGCCTTACCAGCAACATCTATTCTTGGAAGGAAGCACCTTATGTCTACCTCAATAGAAGATCAGAAAAATTACAAAATTCAGAAACTTCAAACAAGTGAAGAAATTATGAATTATTCTCAAGACAAAGGTTTGGTACAGATTAAATTACCAGCAAAACAAATGAATTATTCTCAAGACAAAGGTTCGGTACAGATTCAATTACCAGCAAAACAAACAAATTATTCTCAAGACAAAGATTTGTTACATATTCAATTACCAAAAAAACAAACATTTCCACAAGAAATTTACGAAGAATCATCGGCTTCACTAATTAATTATTGCCCGCCAGAAAGTCAACATGTTGCAAATAATATAAGTGCGAACAGTTATGAAGAAAATCCTCCTACAACTTCGAATAATTCCGTATTAAATGAAAACAAAAAAAAAAGCTTGAATAAAAAGAAAAATATTGCTTCATCGACAACCATATTCAAAAAAGGGAAGACCTTTGTACCTCCTACAAATAAAAATAGTGGAACTTGCAACATTGACAAAACAAATAAATTAAAAGTAAAAAGTGATTTGAAGGGGAAAGGATTGGTTGTACCACCCATGGATCATTTTGCGGTAAAGAAAATAAAAAATAAAAGTAAGAAAACAAAAGTTGAGGATGCAATTCTTTCTTGTTCAAAAAAAATTAGTTCTATGACTTCAGATTGCTCTTCGTTGATTAAACTACAAAAGAAAATAGCAATGAAGAAATTAAATGGGACTAGTCACTCAAATAAAAAATCGCAACAAGTAGATCAGGAGGATGGATTAATGAATCTTATCGAAATGGAGTGGATATCTCTTTCAAAAGACGAACAAGCTGAATTATTTCCTTCTATTTTAAATGAAATGGTTAGGTTGGAAAATAGTTAAAAAAAAGGTGAAGACAAATCATTTTTTTTATTTCCTTATTTTAAGTACACTTTTTATTCTTTCCAACGAAATTTAATTTCCCTAAGTCAAAGAGAAAAGTTATATATTTAACTATTGCATATAAAGAAACATGATCTCTGAAAAATAAGAAGACATATATTTCAAATTTACATATCGTTATTTATCTATCACCGTCGAATGTGTTAAATTTCTTTTTATGTTAATAATATCGTATTATTCGTAATTATAATTATTTCATTAGAAGATGTACCCAGTACCACAAAGTATTAATTAATATTACCAAAATTATTTGTTCTCTATTAGTATTAAAAATAATACATTTGGTACGTAAGAATTTTTATTGTTTTCATATCGTAAAAAGTTATATGTTCTATTGTGTTCAACTCGATTTAATGAACGAGTTTTTGTTATATAGTAACAAAATTTTAAATAAAGAAAAGAATTTTTATTAAAAAAATGAATTGCATAGCTGTAATTGTAATTAATTATATTAATTCCCAATCTAATATATACTTCATTATAGACCAACCGTTTCGTTTAGAAATCCATTCTGAGATTTTAATAAAATAAATATATTTATATTATAACCTTTTCAACTTATCGTATTCGTGGAAATAGGGATTCACATCCACATTTCATCCTGATTAGTGCTGCTCACGAGATCAAGCCTGTCTAGATCACATATTATCGCGGTTCAGAAGACTAATATTCCTGATGATATTTTTAAAAACTAGAAAAATGAAATATTTTCATAAGACATTTTTTATTAAATTTAACTTAATAAATAAATCTATTATATTTAACTTAATTTATTAAGTTATACAATTATTTCACCAACTTTTAGATGTATTTACTCTCTAAACCTGAATTAGTAAAAAGTTACTAATGAAACGACGAAAAATAGTCGAAAAGATTTAGTAATAATTGTTCGAGCGATAACTGGAGTTTTACTAATTACTAGTCGACTTACTACTATCAATTAGTAGAACTGGTTTATAAATAGTCTATTAAACAGTTTCACTAATTTATTTTGTAAATTAGATACCTAGCATTCTAGCAATCAGTCAAATTCTACTAAAAAATAAATAACATTTCACTAATAATTTGTTACATTCGACAATTTTCACTTATTAAAAAGGTGAAAAGTCATCCACGAGAACTTAACAATATTAATAACATTTTTCTATTTGTTATTACAATTTTACTAAACCAGATGTGGAGAGTAAGTTCCTGAACGAAATGTAGTTTGAAAAAATAATTGGATCTCGCACAATCTTATTGATAATAACATCAAGGTTATATAATTATGACCCTTTTTTTTGTCCTTAAAATATAGTTTAAGATTTTATTTAAAAAATTTTAATAAACAACTACTTTTTTTCGTTTTCAAGATATTATTTTTAATTGTTCAATTAATAAAATTTTATTAAGGGCATCCGGGAAAAATCGACTTCGAAAAAGTGTTTTCCCGCGTGTCGTCTCACTCCTAAGTAAGTAAAGATATTTAGTTTCGATTTATCAGGATAATTAGGGGAATTCGTGCTGATAAAGAATATTCTCGACTTAAACTAAGGAAACTACTCCACCTCAAATAACTCTACTTTCAATCATTAATAAAATAATTTCCTTGCAAAATTATTGCAAAAACAGAGAGCAGCGCGCCTCGGAGAGACTTCCTCTATCACCCCTACAAATATGAATCCGACTCAAAAGAACGCGATCACGAAACCATTATTTTTTCCTGGATGCCCTTAACAAATAAATTCGTTTAATTAATTTTAGTTATTAAATTATAAATATATCAAAGAAAATACGTCACTATTTTATTTCGCTTCTTGAAAGGCATAACGGGCATAACACATCTTAAGCTTTATTTTAAGATTAGAAAAAAATGTATACTTTCTTTAAAAAAAATATTTTTCATTTTCAAGAACAGGATTAAATTTTGGATGGTTTCCAAAAATTCATACAAAATTAAAAAGAGTAGAAAAAAACCTTTCGAAAACATCCCAGTCGAAAATTTGTTTCAGGTTGTTGTGTAATAGAAATAAACTATTTTTATTTGAAACATTTTTATGAAAATTTGTTAAATTTTTATTTTTTTTTAAGTCAATATCAGTCATTATTAAATGTAAAGATAAAGTATTTTAATCATTCAGCATTAATTTAACGTTATTTATAGAAATGAAATAAATTTTAAATTATATAACTTCTTAACATCTTTAGAAAAACCTTAAATTACATTCGTAACATATATGTAGCTTTAAAAAGAGTGTAATTTTAATAATCGTAGTTTAAATACAAAATGTCACTGGTAATGCGATGATAATAATAATAGTAATAATCAAGCGAGAAATACGAGATCTTAAGAGAAACGAGTTAGAAAATAAACATTTTTGTAATACTTTTCAAATGTTTGCAGACCCAAATATTTAATGTCATGTTAGCATTTTTTCTTTTTAAAAAATCTGACAGTTGAACCGATAAATTTAATTATGCTTTTCCTAAGAAATATGTAAGTGTTTAAAACTGATACAATTTGTTGAAATTATATTTAATAATATATTATTATATATTTTGCTTTAATTAAGCAATATTTTGGTTTAAAGTATAAAACTGAGTGTGTTTCTAAATACCACATAAGTAATATTTATCAACGAAATTCATTGGTTCATAAAATAGTCAGCCAATGCACTTTGTACTGCATATTCGTTGATGTCAGCATTCACTGGATTAATATCATCCGGTTCGTTAACATTATCTTCTTCGCCGTCACTTGAAATAACTTCGTCATCGGAAATAATGCCTTCATTTTGTGGTGTTTGATTTTCTCGAATAAACTGTTCCATTAAGTGTTCAGGAAAGTAATGCTGATAACCTTCATTTGCAACTAATTCGCGAGTTATAATAAAATTGTGAAGACACACTAATGCCTGAACTACAGCAATAGATGTTTTCAATTTAAAAGACATTTTATTCTTAAGAATTTGCCATCGGGCTGACAAAATTCCGAATGCGCATTCTATAGTTTGCCTAGCTTTTGATAATCTGAAAGAAGCAAATTAAAATCAAATATTATATTAAAAGAAGTTGTTATGTCGGTCATTTGCAATTTCGCACAAGTGACTGTCCACGAGAAAACACGGCTTAGCTTTCACAGGGCGAGTGATTGAAGTAGAAGCAGAATGAAGGAATGCATACAACATAACATCTTTAAAACGTTGTATTGTCAAAAGTAATTGACAATTTACAACTTTTCAGTTTTACATTTGAAAAAGCAATATAAAATCTATCGATTAGCATAAAAAATCAAAATTGATTTTTTAGAGCTAAGCCGTGTTTTCTTGTAGACAGTCACTAATGAATATTCGTTCTTTTAAGAATTCGTTCAAAAGATAATTCATTAAAATAAACATTTGGACGATTAATGGAAATTGTGTTAAATGAAAATTCTCATAAATAAAAATTCGAGTAGGTATTTATAATTCTGTTAATTTAAATATTCGGGTTAATTTAAAATTGATTAAAAAAAATTCGAAAAAAATGAAATTCTGTTAAAAGAAAATTCTAATGAATGAAATTCAATAATTTAAAAATTCTAACTAATGATTTCTAGAGATTAGTCATGGGTCTGCAGTTATTTTTCCTATACGTTTTTTGAATTTATTAACATTCTCTTCAGACAGAATGCAGAGGCTTAAAATTCAAAATTTATAAGAAAATCGACTGCTTTTCAAAACTGATGTATTTCCTGTTTCTATTTTTTTCAGAATTTAAAAAAAAATTGAATAAAACAAGGGTAATTTTTTAAATAAATAATTATTATTTTTTTTCAAAACAATTAAAATTTTGAAAAATCTTACTTTAAAAGCTTTTAAAATTCTATTAATTATGAATATTAAAACAGTTTTTTAATAAAATCTTTTCTAAGTAAGTTATATAATTTAAAAATCAAAAAATGTTAAAGTGGAAGAAAATTTAAAAATAATTCAATGTTTTTAAATTTGGCGAAAATAATTTTCAAAAAATAATGCTTGTACTCATTCTAAAGCATTCAACTTACCGATAATTAAACAATTGCTGTGTTCTAGTAAGGCGTAAATTTCTTTTATATGGGACCATCATATATGGTTTTAAGGCGAAAATTCCGTCTCCAACTATGAAATAGGAGGAAATATAATTTGAATTTGGCAAATAAGCTGGATTTGGCAAATTTGCTAAATTATTCTCCAACTTTCGGTAAAATTCGGTTTGTTGAAATGCCGAGACGTCACTTACGCTGCCTATAATTGAAAAAAGGATAAATAATAATTATTTTTTAAATATTCAATTTAATAATTTTATTAATTATTAATCTACTGAATTAAAAAATGTGTTTATCATTGTATTGTAAGTGTTATCAAATAATTTTCTTTAAGGGCATGTACAAGTTGCGAACTGTAAATAAATTAAAAGGTATGAAGAGGTGTGGATATAATGAAGGAAAGACAGAATAAGGAAAGAAAATACAAAGATGATTATATATATAGACATCCCCTTAAAAACATCCCATTCTGCCACTTTTCCTGGGAAGTTATTCAAATAAGAATTATTTCCAGTCCAGGGCACCTTAAAGATGAAAAACGAATAGGTTTTAAATTCTCCCTCCCCCTCACCATTTTAAAAATATAGAATACTTTTGCAAAGGACCGACAAAATGGGCCCTTTTCTTTTTTCTGAAGAAATAATGTAATCAAACACTTAAATCAACGATAAATGAATAAAAACCGCATAATTCGACTTATCAAAACATATAGATTGATAATAAAAAATACAGAAAAATTAAGATTCTTCTTAAAAATTACTAAATTACGATTATCTCGAAAAATAGAACCCACAAAATGAGATTTTTCATGTGGATGTCTACATATGTTAGTTGAACAATGTCCAACGCCTTCGTGGAAATAGAACTATTGTACGCTAGGCACCAATGGAGGAATGTAGTACATTTCCCCACTGGTGGTTTGGCCAGTGGAGAAATGAAGTCATTTTCCCACTGGTGGTTTGACATTTTAAGAACAGAATTTTGAGGACACTCTATGGATCTTTGGGGACACTTTCAAGACATTCATTTTTGAAAAAATTTTTTCCAAATTTTTTTTTCAAATTTTTTTTTTAATTTTTAGATTTTTGTTCACTCTCAGCTATTGCTATAATATCATTGTAATATTTTGATTTCGATAAATAAAGAGTGAATTCAACTTAAAATTTTGAAAAATGAATAGTTTAAATTTATTATTCATAAAAAAAATTTTTTGCAGTTGTTGGACAAAATAGTATGTGCAACTTGTGGAGAACAGCGATTTTCGCTCGCTCGATTGCAAACTTCGAGCTCGCGAAAAATCGCCCTTGTTCTCCACTCGTTGCACAATCTACTAGTGTATTCCTTATAAGTTTGAATTTCTTCCTTATATACATTAAAAAGAAATTTTTCCCCCTATTTTAAGATTGAACTTAATTGCTTCTCCAATTACTGAGTAGAATAACATTTAAACTACAAAAGGAAAGATCGAAAATAACTTTTTCAAATAACTATATTATTCTAAAATAGTAAATAATTGTATTTTTCACAAAGTCGCTATATAATTGGAGCACCCGCCAAAATTGACACACTTATCCTATGCAAAAATATTGTGAGTTAAAACTTTTTTTAAAAAAAGGTGAAAATATATTATATGTTAAGTAAAATGGTTTCACACAAAAACTTACCGTAATCTCCAATATCAACCCAAGAAAATCGGCAAAAGGAATCACACATTGCCATCAGTTTAAAACTAAAAAATTTTTTGTAATTAAAAAAAATGCTACCAGAATTTTCTGGTTTATTTATGGCAATTTCCTTTCCATCAATTGCTCCGATACAGTTGGGTAAATCCCATTTCACTCTGAAACCCTCGGCAGTAACTATCCAATCGTTGAGTTCGATATTCCCTTTCAAATATAGAGGCTGCAGACATTCCCAAATAATTGGGCATACCTCAGCAATTATGCTATATGTCGTTGACAAACCAATGCGGAAAAAATTGCTGGTAGTGTAAAAATTGTCACCGTGGGCAAGAATACTGAAATGATTAAATAAATTATACTATATTAAGATGCTAAAAACGAATTAGTAAAATGCGTTATTTCAAAACAAATGTTTAAATTTTGAATAAAGTAATATAGCGCAACAGAATTGAACTTTTTTATTATTTCTGGGATCGCATAATATAGGATTATTCTTCTAGATTTTTTGATACTTAACACGAATTCGTAATCCAGGGTGTCTACAATTAGCTAATCTGCAAAAAATTTCCCTGACATTTCCAGGTTTTCCAGGCATTCAAAAATTTTTTTCCAGGTTTTAAGAATCGACATAATAAGGGATTACAATAAATACATTTATTTATGAAAATAATTGAATTCCTAAAAAGAATTTTATTATATACGAAAATAATTAAGGGGCTGGATGCTATGAGGAGATACGCGCAATGTTAAGTGAATGGCGCGTATTTCCTTATAGTACCCAGCCCCTCAATTGAATCCGAGTAAAAATTTTATTATTTATGAAAATAAAAAAATTGAATTATTGCTAAGAAATTTATACAGATTTTGTAAATAATTGAATTCCTGTGAAATGTTTATTATTTCTTGAAAATAATTAAAATGTTTTTAAATGATTAGATTCTTTTGGAAAAATTTTATTAAAATAGTAGATATTGAAAAACATTTAAATGAGGAACATTTTTGAAAATAATTGAAATTTTGACGTGAATTTTAAAAATTTTTTGAATATAATTGAATTTTTGCGAAGAATATTATTACTTTTGTAAATAATTGAATTTCTCTAAAATTTCCCAAATTATATCGTACAATTTATAAACTTTTCGTTCTTTTTATATCAAATTACGGGCTTTACGGACCTTTTTTTTAAAAAAAAACTGACTTTTACGGACCTAGTTCAAGCCCTGAATTATATTAAAAATAAATTGACTTATTTTAGGAAACGAATTTTTTCAATGCCATTATTTATGTTTTTCTCTTGATCTTTCAGAATTTTAAGTGGTCAATCTTTTTCTATTTGATTATATGTGTGTCTGTGGTTCATATTATTTCTCAAAAATCAAAATAGAATAGAATTGCAAATTAGAAAGGCAATGTTAATTATTACTATTAATTTTCTACTAAAAATTTGTAAAATTAATTGTGCGCATTAAAAATATTGTTCAAGAGTATTTCAAGTCATGAATTTATGATGAAAAAAATTCCCCTGACTTTCGAAAAAATTCCCTGACATTTCCCGGTTTTCCAGGACATTTTTAATTTCCCTGACATTTCCCAGTTTTCCAGGTTTTTCAGGTGTTGTAGACATCCTGCCGTAATCAAAATTGTTCCATCACCCTAGGTTTTCGAGAAATTTGACCTTGAAAATTGAAAAAATGCTGTTTTTATAGGTTACTTTTGGTTTTCTATCAAGGTACAAAATTTTTTCTGAAGTTTCTATGATTTACGTACCAAAGCTCATATGCTCGACTTAACAATTCCAATTTCGACGTTTTAAAAATATCTATTTTTTGATGAGTTATATTTGTTTGAATTTGAGGCGCAAGAGTACCCAGGTAAAAATGATTCGTTTAGAAATCCAATCAAATTCGTACAGAAATCTTATCGAATTCATATGAAATTACTAGTAAAATTCGTGTGGCCTTTTGAAACGATTTTTTTGCCCAAATATTCGTGCGAATAAAATCCTAATTTTTATAAATATGGATTTTCAAAACTTTTTTTCGCTCGGATACTCGTATGGAAATTATTTCGACAAATTGTTTAAATAATTGTGGGCCAAATTTCCATACCATATTTAAACGAATTACTAACGGATTAATTTTGTAAAATTTTTAAAAAGTTCTGCTTGGATATTCGTATGGAATTCCGCACGAAATATCAGCTAATAATTTTTTTCAAAAATTTTTAGCCAAATTTCCATTTGAAATTCGTACGAATTTCTGTGCAGAATTTTGTAAAAAATTTTCAAAATTAATCCGTTATTAATTCGCTCGAAATTCGTAAGAATTTATTATGGAATTTGGCCGAAAATTTTCGAAACAAAATTTTATCTGACGTTTTATGCGGAATTCCATACGAATTTCCGAGCAGAATTTTCTAAAAATTTTACAAAATTAATCCGTTAGTAATTCGTTTGAATATTGTATGGAAATTTGGTCCACAATTATTTAAACAATTTGTCGAAATAATTTCCATACGAGTATCCGAGCGAAAAAGTGTTTTGAAAATCCATATTTATAAAAATTAGGATTTTATTCGCACGAATATTTGTGCAAAAAAATAATTTCAAAACGCCACACGAATTTTACTAAGTAGTAATTTCATATGAATTCTATAAGATTTCTGTACGAATTTGATTGGATTTCTGAACGAAATTCGTGCACAAAATAATGTTTACTTTAATTATAAAATATTAATAGAATTATTTTTTTCAATTTACAATATAATTTTTAACTTGAAAATTCAAATTAACGAAAGTACTTAAAATATTGTCGTTTATTTAAACTTCCGAAACTTTAGTAACGGTATTATGGCAAATTTTTTCTTAAGATTTATATAACCTGTTTACAAATTAATTGTATAAAAAAGAATCTTGAAGCAACCTCACAATATAAGATTAATCAGAAAACATTCCCTTAAAGTTAAAATTATGCTATAAAAACAATTTATTAGTACAGAAATTTATAAACTTTTCAAAAACTTACGATAAAGTAACAGCCAAGCGAAGTCTTGTTGACAACGGTTGTCTGAGACTTCTCTTTTGTAGCCGATGATGAATTAAGCCATGCAACTCTTCAAATTGCTCCACACTCATTCGAACCATTTTTCGAAAATTCTCATGGTCATTATTGACAAAATAATTAAAAATAGTATCAAATGCTCCAAACAATTCTCTCATATGAGTTTTTATATGGGGTTTGACCCACCATCGCCGAAATACTTCGCTGCTCATCCTCATGTATAGTCTAATTAAATTAAGCCACTCCAAACATATTAAAATTACTGCCAGGAAATCATTCATTTTTATAATTAATAACTCGAGGAGATAATAACTGATAAGAATATGCTATTATTATTAGTACCGGTTAATACCAAAATGACCATAATGAATATGTAGATAGAAGGTTCAAATAAGAAAAATTTTGCATTTCAACCGCAAAAAATAGAGGCTCTGCAGTCGAGTCATTAAAGTTTGTCATTGTTGTTCACAAAGTTCACAATATATACATATTTCAAATAAATTGAGGAGTAAGTGGCCAAAAGTGGATAAGTCCATTTTTTACTATTTCGAGAAATTTAAACAAATGCAATTTGACACATAACAAAGTTAATTTGAAAATAGAAAAAATATATATATTTTTAAATTAATATAATTCTTTATTAACAATTTTTTTTCTTAATAAAAAGCAAAGTAAAATTTTTTTTAAAAACGGACTTATCAACTTTTGGCCGCTTGCTCCTCAATTGTGAAAAGTTTTTAAAAATAATTAAATTTTACAAAGAATTCTATTAAAGTTCTTGACAATATAATTGAATGTCTGTGTGGTATTTTATTAAATTTTTTTGAAAATAATTGAATTTTTGTAATGAATATTGTTATTTATAAAAGTAATTGAATTATGCAAAGAATTTTATTAAAATACTAAAAAAGTAGTAGTTATCGAAAAATTTTTATTATTCATGAAAAGAATTGAATTCTCGAGAACGATTTTATTAGAATTTTTTAAAATAATTGAATTTCCAAGAAAAAATTTCATACTTTTAAAAATAATTGAATTGTTGGAAAGAATTTTATTAAAATCTAAAAGGATAATTGAATTATTTCAAAAGAAATTAATTAAAATTGTACGAAATTAAAATAATTGATTTCTTTTGCACAAATTTATTTATTAACATATTTAAAAACAATTAAACTCCTGTGAAAAATTCTAATATTTTTGTAAATAATTGAATTCTTCCAAAGAATGTAAAAAAAAACCATTTTTTTTAAATAATTCATTTTTTCGAGAAATTAAAATTAAATTTTTAAGAATAACTGCATTTCTTAACCACTTCCTGTAAAATAGTATTAAAAATAATTATGATATTATTTATGAAAATAATTGAATAGTTGCAAAAAATTTTATTAAAATTTTCAAAAATAATTGAAATTTCGGGAAAAATTTGGTTATTTATCGACATAATAGAATTCTATTGAAGAATTATTTATGTAAATAATTGAATTCTTTTGCGAAATTTCATGAAAATACTAGATATTGAAAATTTAAAGTAGGTAATGGGAAATCTCTCTCTCTCTCTCTCTCTCTCTCTCTCTCTCTCTCTCTCTCTTAAAAAAAGGGAAATAGTAGCTTTTATAGTAGCTGAAATCTATAAAAAAGTACTCAAATAGTAGCATAACGTAAAAAAAGTAGTAAATAGTAGGTTTCTATGAAAAAAAACTTTTTAACAAATACAAATCACCAACCATATAGTATAACATTTTTTGTTATTATTATTACTGATAAAATTTTTTAAAAAATTTAAACTTGTTCAAATTCCTCTTTATCATATATTTTAAACTAATTCATTAATTAAATAATTTATTACATTAATTGTATTATTAACAATTATTATTATTATTATTATTATTATTATTATTATTATTATTATTATTATTATTATTATATGTATAACAATTATTAAGAATTATAATATATATTGTAATTAAATAATTTAATTTATCTGAAAATTTGATTAAATTCATTAATTAAAGTAATTAATTAATTATTATTTATACAAAACTTTAACACAACTTTCAGCAGTTGGTAGCATTACATTTGTGACGTCAGAACAAGCGCGTCGCGTCTGCGTTGCGTCTACGTTGCGTTTGCGTTCATTTCACGATACCCATTCTGGAACCGACCTTAAAAATATCAAATCGTCAATATGACGAATGTTCAAAACGTCGAATTATCAATTCGTCGAATGTTAAAAACATCGAATTGTCAATACGTCGAATGATAGAAACGTCGAATGCTAAAAACATCGAATCTTTATGTAGTCGAATGCTAAAAATATCGAATCTTCAGTTAATCGAATGCTAAAAACATCGAATTCTCAATTCGTCGAATGTTCAAAACGTCGAATGTTTAAGGTGCTTCTATACCTCTGGTGGATTAGTCAAGCAATCGGCTCGATGAATTTTCACGGTCGGAAAATGTACTTTCATGGCGGGTATTTTTGAATAAGTAAATGTTGAAAAGGTTTTTACTTGAAAATTTATTTAAAAAAATGATTTTATCATAGAAATTTTTTTGAAATTTATGTTAAAAAACATGTTTTATTTTAAAAGTTATCAAATTTGAATTCAAAATGTTTTAATTTTCCAATGAAGTGTAAAAAGCCTAATGTTTTTGAAATGCTAGTACAGACAGTACAGACTGTTTGTTATGAATGTACATAACCTAGCGTTGTGTTGTCGTGCTTGTGATATTATATTCTAAATTTAATGATTTTATTATTATTATTATATTAAATAATAATGAACAGACACACAACGCTAGGTTATGTACATTCATATAACAAACAGTCTGTACCGTCTGTACTAGCATTTCAAAAACATTAGGCTTTTTACACTTCTTTGGAAAATTAAATCATTTTGAATTAAAATTTGATAACTTTTAAAATAAAACATGTTTTTTAACATAAATTTCAAAAGAATTTCTATGATAAAATCATTTTTTTAAATAAATTTTCAAGTAAAAACCTTTTCAACATTTACTTATTCAAAAATACCGGCCATGACAGTACATTTTCCGACCGTGAAAATTCATCGAGCCGATTGCTTGACCAATCCACCGGAGGTATAGAAGCACCTTTAAAACGTCGAATGCTAAAAACGTCGAATGTTCAAAACGTCGAATGCTCAAAACGTCGAATCGTCATTTAGTCGAATGGTAGAACCATCGAATAGTCCATTCGTCGAATGCTTAAATAGTCGAAACGCCATCTGTTCGAATTATCAAGTAGTAGAATGGTAAAGTTGTCGAATGTTCAAAACGTCGGATCGTCATCTGTTCGAATTGCCAAGTAGTAGAATGGTAAAGTAGTCGAATGGACAAAAAGTCGAAACGCCATCTGTTCGAATTATCAAGTAGTAGAATGGTAAAGTTGTCGAATGTTCAAAACATCGACTCGTCATTTAGTCGAATGCTAAAAACATCGAATCTTCATTTAATCGAATGCTAAAAACATCGAATTCTCAATTCGTCGAATGTTCAAAACGTCGAATGATAAAAACGTCGAATGCTAAAAACATCGAATCGTCAACATGTCGAATGTTCAAAACGTCGAATTATCAATTTGTCGAATGCTCAAAACATCGAATTGTTAATTCATCGAATGCTTAAATCATCGAATTCTCAAATCGTCGAATAGCTCAAATAGTCGAAACGCCATCTGTTCGAAATGTCAAGTAGTAGAATGGTAAAGTAGTCGAAACGCCATTTGTTCGAATTGCCAAATAGTAGAAGGGTAAAGTAGTCGAATGTTCAAAACGTCGAATGATAAAAACGTCGAATGCTCAGAACATCGAACTGTTAATTCGTCGAATGCTCAAAACGTCGAATGATAAAAACGTCGAATGCTAAAAACATCGAATCGTCAAAAGTTTGAAAAAGTTCTTTGTCTTCAGTAGACATTAACTTAAAACAAAGAACTTTTTCGAACTTTTGACGATTCGATGTTTTTAGCATTTGACGTTTTTATCATTCGACGTTTTGAGCATTCGACGAATTAACAGTTCGATGTTCTGAGCATTCGACGTTTTGATCATTCGATTACTTTACCATTCTACTACTTGGCAATTCGAACAGATGGCGTTTCGACTACTTTACCATTCGACTACTTTACCATTCTACTACTTGACATTTCGAACAGATGGAGTTTCGACTATTTGAGCATTCGACGATTTGAGAATTCGATGTTTTTAGCATTCAACGTTTTGATCATTCGACGTTTTAAACATTCGACGAATGGAAAATTCGATGATTTAAGCATTCGATGAATTAACAATTCGATGTTTTGAGCATTCGACAAATTGATAATTCGACGTTTTGAACATTCGACATGTTGACGATTCGATGTTTTTAGCATTCGACGTTTTGAACATTCGACGAATTGAGAATTCGATGTTTTTAGCATTCGATTAAATGAAGATTCGATGTTTTTAGCATTCGACTAAATGACGAGTCGATGTTTTGAACATTCGACAACTTTACCATTCTACTACTTGATAATTCGAACAGATGGCGTTTCGACTTTTTGTCCATTCGACTACTTTACCATTCTACTACTTGTCAATTCGAACAGATGACGATTTGACGTTTTCAACATTCGACAACTTTACCATTCTACTACTAGATAATTCGAACAGATGGCGTTTCGACTATTTAAGCATTCGACGAATGGTCTATTCGATGGTTTTACCATTCGACTAAATGACGATTCGACGTTTTGAGCATTCGACGTTTTGAACATTCGACGTTTTTAGCATTCGACGTTTTTAGCATTCGACGTTTTAAACATTCGACTTATATTTCATCTACTTGTTAGAAGATATAACTTATGTAGTACCGCAACTTGTTGTCAGATGACGCCACTGTTCAGAGATAGAAAGAGAAAAACTCACTCCCTCTCTCTCTCCTTTGTCTATCTCTTACTACCTACTCTCTACCTTTCATTCGTTTCTTGGCGTTGGTGACAGCCACATTACGTTTTCAACGAAATTAAAAGTGTGTGAAGTGTGAAGAAGATGGAAGAAGATGGAAGAACTGGAAGTGGAAGAGCAGAAGCGGAACGTTTATAGGATTTTAAAGAAAGTTCATGCTATACAGCATGAGGAGACAAAGTCTCCGAATAATAAAGAAGTATAGGATTTTAAAGAAAGTTCATGCTATACAGCATGAGGAGACAAAGTCTCCGAATAATAAGGAAGTAAGCTCAAATATGTACGTGTAAGTAATTTAAACATGAAAGCATTGCTTTTCCCAACATGGCTAAGCTTCAATCCCGAATTGCTGCCAAAAGCCGAGAGGGATTTCTGATCCTCAATCATGAGTTGAGGAAACAAAATAATAAAATGCAATTAACGACAAATGTTTCGTTAAATATAAGAGCGCTACTTCCGTCAATTCTTCAAATACATTGTAAGGAAAAAGTCTGAAATTATTTCAGCTGATAGTTTTTCAAACAAAATTAAATATATTTA